TACGTCACTCCTCCTCAGTCCAGATATGGTCACTTCCTGTTCACTGGGTGCAAAAAGCCAAGCTGGTGCACACACTGACCTGCAGCTTCCAGAGGAAGTCGAGTCTGGCCGTGGACTCCACCTGCTGGGCGTGAAGGTAGAGCGCGAGCACGAAGACGGTGATGACCACCGGGGTCACGATCTTCAGAGGAACCTTAGAGTCCACCACACAGCTGGAGGTCAGCGCGCACACACACACACACGCACACACACACACACACACACACATTCGGTTTTCCTGTATAAGTGTAAAGATGAACTCTGCAGGAACACTGACACAAAGAACAAGCTGCCCTCTACATCTTAGCTCATTAGCGTTAGCGTAGCGCCAGCACAGTGATAATGATGCCGTCAGCTTAATCACATGACAGAGGTGATGCCTCCGGTCTCTGTGGTGATGGACGTTTCAGTCTCACCTTGTTCCATTCGTGTGCTCGCTGCAGAAGAGGAGGAACAGAGGAGAGCCAATCAGCTGTCAGAACATCTGCACTCGGTCAAAGATCCACACACACACACACACACACACACACAGCAGCGGTGACTCACCTATCGTCGATGGCGTTGGCCGTCACCAGCAGGTCCTGGTTGTCGAAGAGGTTGACTTTGGGCACCTCCATGATGAGGACGTAGAGCAGCTCGATGAAGAGCATGAGGAAGAGTTTCCCGATGCTGCTGATCTGCAGGAAGACGGAGCAGGCCAGCAGACTGAGCAGCACGCAGGACGAGAAGTACTGCGGGACGGAGACGGAGATAAGGTTTAATGTCTGGTAGTCAAGCTTTATGTTGTGTGATATAAAACAGCGCTCATTCACACATCACTGAACGAGCCAAACGTTAACATTCAAACCTGACATCACTCTCTCTTTGTTCTGCTGCTGCTCACACACAGAACCCCTCATCTGAAGCGCTGACTCCTCAGAACGTACAGCTACACGTGTCTCACTGTGGAAGATCTGTTTTCTTTATGTTGTTATAAAAGCAATAAAGTACTCGAGCTTTCACTTTACAGCCACAAGAGACGGAACAAAAGGAACATTTCTCCCTGGTTTCAACCCGTGGTGTCATACATGCAGAGAGCCTCCGTAGTGTGAAGTTAGTTCATGTTCTTGTTCTGATGGTGTTTTGAGCTCCTTCGGTTAACGAGGCTGCAGAAACATTTGTGACAGATGTATTTAATTAACACAATTAGACTGTTTCCTCGACTCCTCTCTTCCGAGGAAAGGAATCGAGGAGGCAGCCTCCAGAGATCAGGGCACACCTGTACCTCAGGTAGGCTGCACATGAGGGAGTCGTCTCCATACGGGCTCAGCTGTGTGTCCAGGCTGTAGTTGAGGAAGTGGGCGTGGCATGCATCGGGCAGACTGACGTTAAGCTCCGCCCTGATGCAGCTCCGCAGGTCCAGGCTGCTGCAGGTGAACTGGAGGAGGTGAAAGGTCCAGGAAGGTTTTATGGAACGTTGTTTTTGGAAATTATGAAAATGGTCTTGATTGGTTTTTGTGGAAATTCTGTTGAACTCACAATGTTGATGAAAGCAGAGAGAAACACGAGGATGATGGTGAAGACGCCCACCAGGGTGCTGTTCAGTCTGGACTGGACGATCCTCTTAGAGAGAGTCTGCAGAGCGACGGGGAACAGCTGGGAGCAGAGGGAGTCAGATTTAATTATAAATTAGTTCCCAACACATCCTGCAGGCTGGAGTCACCTTCTCTGATATCTGATGAGAGGACTGACACCATGAATCATCTCTGTACGTTCAGTAGATGAAATAAAACCATGAATCATCAGAGAAAAAACGCTAAATTGTATGTCACACATTTATATCTTTAACCAGCAATTGGCTAAACTGCTTCATAGTCCCGCCTCTTTTGGGCAGTTTCTCCAGCGCCCCAGAGCTGCTGAGACGTGCACACGCGGAGAGGACGTGCACACGCGGAGAGGACGTGCACACGCGGAGAGGACGTGCACACGCGGAGAGGACGTGCAGGAACAGCATATATTTTGTGCAGATATCATATTTTACACATATTACTGGGTGATTCCATATTTCAAAAACACAAATATTGACAATTTGTATAGTTTATTATTATTATTATTTTATTTGTTGTGGCTCAAGGTGGGGCGGCGCCCTAGCGCCCTCTATTGACCAGACGCCACTGGTTCTTGTACCTCTTATTAACAAAAGATCTGCACAAAGTGTACTTTCTATTATTCATCACGAGCAGAGACTCACCCCAAAACAGCAGTACACGGTGGAGACGAACATGACCGCCGTCAGGATGACGAGGAAGGTGACGAAGAAGCCGATCATCAGTCTGGAGCTGCAGACGACAGTAAAGATGTCATAATGTTCATAGAGTAGAATACATAGGATACATTCATCTCTCTATGGTGTGTCACCTTGTGCTGATGTAAACAGAAGTAGGAATAATGTGTGTGAGACAGGACGGACTGTGAGAGGTATTCAGGAATAAAAGATGAGAGGAGTGGTGAGATGAAAGGATGGAGGAGAAAGGTGAATAAAGGAGATCAATACTGAGAGATGGTCTGAGTGGAAGAGAGAACAAAAGAAGAGAGGACGGTTTGCCTGGAGACTAAGTCTGTGAGAGCTCTTTGAATCCGGCTGCTGCTCGTCTGCAATTACAATGATTCTGGTTTAATATTCTCTTTCAAAGCTCATTTATTCAGCTTCTTCTGTTATCATTTCATTCACTTATGAAATTGTGTAAATCTAAAGATGTGAGAGCTTGCAATGGATACTATAAAGACTGAAGTAATGTGCAGTGTAGTATGTCATAAAAATCATAAAAAGTCTTAAAGTCACAAAAAGTCATAAAAAGTCGTAAAAAGTCATAAAAAAGTTGTAATATAATATTTCACAAAAAGTAATAAAAAGTCACAAAAAGACAAAAAGTCACTTTAAAAATCAATTCACATTTGAGGCATACTTCAGGAAAAAGATACATTGTGTTTATTTGATGTGTTCTTGATTCGGTCTGTATTGTCTACAGTCAGACAGTCTACAGTCAGACAGTCTACAGTCAGACAGT